GTTACCAAAATAACAGTTTCCACTAATTCCAAGTTAAGCTTTTAAAAGTTTATTGGAAATCCAACCCAGGGTGTTTGCACAAGCTACCATTGTAGCAAGTACTACAAGCACTTGCTCTACCATTGTGCTCTTATCTCCAGCCCTGGATACATAACACAAACTATTTTTATTGTAGACTTCATCAAATTATAGAGAGTAACTTTAAAAAGTGCTCAGGTTAAATAGTAACTACTTCAACAACCTAACCTAGTTACTTTCCTTAAAAAGTATGCAATAAAACCATGTTTATAGGGCACAGTTTGTAATAACCAAATCTTGAAAACAGCCCAAATGCCCATCAACTGGTGAATGGATAAAGAAGATGTGTGTGTTTTTAGAGAGTACTACTCGGTCATAAAGAAGGATAAGCTTAAGACATTTCTAGGTAAATGGATGCACCTTGAGACTATACACTTAAGTAAAATAAATCAGACACCAGTATAAGTACTACTTTGTTTCTCTGTGTGAGAAACTGAAAGAGTAATTAAGGACCAAAATGTATAAGTATTGCAAAATAGGAAGACAATGTTCAAATGGGGAAGGGAACAAAAGAGGAGGAGGGGAAAAGAAAAGAAAGAGAAAAGGAAAAAGTGGAAACAGCTTTTCTAAATGAGGAAGGGAAGCAGGGTTGAAGGGAGGTAGGGGAATAGGTAAGACAAAAAAACAAGATATCATGTACAGGTACAAATTCTCTATGATGAATGTGATCATTATGTATAAAGTGTACCAGTAAAATCTGATTGGAAGAAAAAAAAGGTCTTTATAGTGGGGAACTGTCACATATTGACAACTGGTAGTCAACTTGTAACACCCAGCTGGACTGAATCAGCGTGGTGCTGGGTGTGGGAGGCCCACCTGAGGATTGCTGCCAGCAGCATAACAGGCAGAACCGGAGAAGAAGAGAGGCTGTTGGAAGCGGGTAGAAGCTGTTGGATACTATTAGAAACTGTAAGGAGCTGTTGGTTCTCTTGGAGGAGCTTGTCATGCTGGCTTGATGAACTCCACTGTTCTCACTATCCAGGACCTTGCTGTCACTGAGAATGGCTTCAGTTCACTTTGGGGGAGCTCTGGTCCTCACCTTGAACATCACTTCCTGGCTCCGGAAGGGAAGATGGTGCACTGCTTGGTCTCCTTGAGAAGCTTGTCATGTTGGCTTTCCTGATGGGAACTCAGTTTTCCTCATCATCAGAGGAGCTCAGGACCTCACTGTCACTGAAGATGACTGTAGTACTTTTTGGGGGAGCTCTGGTTCTTATTTGGACCGTTGCTTCCTGGCTCCAGTTCAGATCCCTCAGCGTGCTAGCACAGATCCTTCATCTTACTGGCATAGACTTTCTAGTGTCCACCACTGACTTTTGGGCCTTCTCAGCACAGATCCATAAAACGGGCCTGCATGAAACATTGTCATGGGCTCTAGGCCTCCAGCTGGACTCATGGGAGGCACTGTTAGGGGCTGTAGGTCTGCAGCTGAACTCATGTAGGACATTACCATGGGATCCAGGCTCTCGGCTGGATTCTTTGGTCTTCAGTGTGTGGAGAGATTTCCTGTACTCTCTTGTATATGATTCTTTGGGTGACTATTATAAATAATCTTATAAAATATGTGTCCTGTATTAGTTCCCCTTGCAAAACCCCAAACTATAACAGGGAGTATATGCAGTAAAGTTGAAAATCAAGAGAAAATTTTTAGATGAAAGTACAGTACAGTTAATTTCATGAGGATTCAATATCTTCTAGTATGTATTTCTGATAGTTTTCCATAAACACCAAGGTGAAGCAATTTGCTCATATTTCAAGAGAAAGCTGGATTTTAAAATGAAAATGGAGGCCAGGGATATAGCTCAGCAGTGTAGCACCTACCTGGTAAGTGCAAGGCGCTGAATTCAATTCCCAGCACAAATAAATAAATAAATATTTAAAAATGCATTTTTGGTCTTTATTTATAGATTGGCGGGGCTGGGGATTTAGCTCAGCGGCAAAAGCGCCTGCCTGGCAAGCGCAAGGTCGTGATTTCGGTTCCCGGTACCAAAAAAAAAAAAAAAAAAAAAAAAAAAAAATATATATATATATATATATATATATATATATATATATATAAATTGGCAACTTGAAACTTTTGTGGAAATTATTAATACTTCTTTGTAGTTGACTACAGCTTTACTTTTGTCTCACCTTTTAAAAAAATCTGTTGCACATTGTTCCTGAACTGGGTTTCTAAAAACAGGAGCTGGCTTTCATTGTATTCAGAAACGTGATAGAAAGCCATCATTCTTTTATATCAATGACCACCCCACTGTGGGACTGCTGAAACATAATATAAACTTCCATACATCTTTAAAGTCTTTGTAGAGCTGGAAAGCAACTGATCTTTGTGTCCGCAGAAATGTTAATACCACAGACATATTGCATATCTGTAACTGTACACACACACAGTATAAAGAATGGTTTTCTTTTACCCCTACAGCCAATACATGTGCTGCCCCCTCTGAAAGCAACCGCAGTCTATTAACACTGTTTCCATTCAACATTGCTTTGGAATTCCCGGTAATTATAATAAGGCAATACAAACAAGTGAATATAAACACTGGCAAATAAGAAAATCTCCTGTTTTTGTAAGTAACATGCTTACAAAATCCTAAAAGGAGCTATAAAACAAATGCTAGATTTTTTAACTAAAATTAGGTTGCTAGATATGAGGTTATTATGTAATACTTAGGTCCCTCACATTATACCCCGCCCAGCTTGAAGAGAAAAACTTCAACAGACAGTCTGTTCAACCAGAAAGCCCCTCACGCAGCTCGAGAGACGAAAGTAAATCTTTATCAGGATAGTTCCCAGGCCTAGTTCTCAGGCTTACAGGAAACCTCATGAGTCTACAGAATGCCACGCTGTAAATCAGCAACATGCCGATATCCTCCTGCACTTCCCTCCCCTACAGGCACCAGGCCCACCAATCACCCCTGAGAAACATAAATTTTCCACCTTCCTCAGTGCAATTTCCCCTTCCCATACCTAAAATAGTCTATAAAGTAGGCCCCCTTTGTTCAAGGCTTTGGTCAAGGCTTTCTCACCCTTGACCCAGGCTGCATCCAGCCTGAAATAAAGATGTCACTGTTTGCTTCAATCTTGCCTGTCCTGGTGGTCTCGATCACTACTCAGGGTCTAGCCTGACAAGTTAACCAATAATTTTTATACTATAGCATAGTAACTGTTTTAGGCATTGTAGACCAAGAAGCAAAATCAAGGATAGTTTACATAGTGAGAGAATAAACTTCCACAATTTTTACTGACAAAATCCAAAACTTAACTAAAACCAACCAAACCATCTCCTATTTTGCTATTTTTCTACTCATGCCTCTGAAGATCTCAAGTATCAGATGTGTGACTTTACTTAAGCACTGATCTCCTCAACAAATCATCATGTAAAGAATTATTTCTATGAGAATGCTTAGAGAAAAAGAGTCTGGGGGCAAATGAATGTACTGCTAAGTGGTTATATAAAAATTAACTCTAGAAAGGGTGTTTGATGGTATACTAGAAATATCCATCTTCATAGTTGATACATTCCTGCCCAGGTATGAATCACTGAAAGTTGGAGGCCAGCCTGGGCTACATAGTGAGTTCAAGGACAGCCTGAACTACATAGTGAGACCCTATCTCAAAGGTGGGTGTGTATCATGAAACAGCATGGAGGCAGACTAAATATACTATCTTCACCGCAAACAAGCCTCCATCACCCACATTACACGTACCTAGATGGAAGTATGGGAGTGGAATACCATTGACCTTTCCTTGTGTCATAAAGAAACATCAAGTTCACTAAAGCCTGGCACTGACGTTAGTTTCTATGTTCGCTAGTTTCCTATAGACAGAGCTGTGAAAATGCTGAGGCTCTGCAATATGCAAACTGCCGCAATAGAGCTTCTAAAAGGGATCACCGGAGGAAGGAATTCTGTTCTTGGAGCCTCAATATCCTGTCTTCCCAGGTCTCTGCTTTAGGACAACTGCAGCTCCAAATTTTCCATACCAAATGCAAGACTATGGTTATATAGTGAGAACCTTTCATTTTAGGTCTCAAATATCCAACTTCCCCTTCCAAAGTCATTTCACTAAATGCTACACAGTGTGGCTATAAGGGGAAATGCCAGCACTCGGGAGGCTGAGGCAGGAGGATCAACATGAGTTCGAGACCAGCCTGAGCTATAAAGTGAGCTCAAGGCCAGAGTGAACTGCATGGCGAGACCCTGTCTCAAAAAGAAAAAAAAAAGAAATCTCAGTGTAACAAATTAGGAGAAACCATGGAATTTACAATTGGCCAGAGGATATGCTATACTGCATTAGGTTGGACAACAGATAATGTGCACTGATGAAAGTAACAGAGGCCATGCGTTAGAACAGAAGCCTCCGTCTTCCACAGTCATGTGGGAATCGTGTCCACATAATCTTCAACTCTAGCACTGCTAAAATGAAATTCTACCCTCCTCAAAAAAAAAAAAAAAAAAAAAAAAAACCCTAGTCTAAACTGGGCATAGTGGCACACACCTGTAATCCCAACACCGAGGAAGGCTGAGGCAAGGAAGAGGTGATCAAATTAGCGAGACTCCGTCTCAATATAAAAAAATAAAAAGCGCGGGGATGTAGCTCAGGGGTAGAACGCCCCTGGGTGGTTGCGGGGGGGGGGTTGCTACACTGGACCGATTATCCGTGTCTCAGCCTCATCTCACAGTGGCCGCTAACCGTGGTCCAGCAAACGACCCCGTCCCCACTCAGTCGCAGGAGTCCAATCGCAAGCAGTCAGGCCCTCTCCACCCACGCACACGTTGACGATCACAGCCAACACCGACGCGGTCACACAACCGCACGCAGGACAAGAGCACGCAAACGCAGGGGACTCTCGCACCGGTATGAGGCTACTGTGCGCCCCGGGAACTCTTCTCACACCCGGGGTCGGGAAACCTCACCTGACCATTCAGAAAACGCTGGCCTAAAGCCAGAGGAAAACGATCCAGAAGCCTAAATTCACTGGCAGGCCTGGGGACCCGGGATAAAAGTACTCGAAGCAGAAGCCGCGCAGACATTGATGTGACCGAGGAGCAGGACAGCTAGGAGCACCGCGCAGCTCCCAAGGGGCCGCCGCGGAGACTCCTGGGAGCGGGAGCCCACCCCGAGTGTGCGCAGGCGCAGAAGACAGCCCGGGCCGGGGATGAGGCTGGCAGGTTTTAGGGGCTCTGAGAAGCCTGAAGAGTCGTCTGGGAGCTTCTGCCCCAGAGAGCAGACTGGGCGAGCGGAAGCCGGTGGGGACACCCGGGAGAAATCCGGAATCGGAGCCAGGCCTGGTAATTCTGCTAATTTCAGACTCTCAGATCAGTAGGAGCTGGGCCTCGGGCGTGGTCCGTGGGCGTGACCCTGAGGATGCGCACCTTGTGACCTGGAGCGAGCCGTGCAAGGGGGATTTTGCCTGTTTGACCCCGAGAACCGCTGTCGCGGGGGGTGAGAGGGGAGAAGCGGGTAGGCCCCCTACCTATAGCGGGTACTGCACATATATATTCCCTGTGCCCAACCCACTGTGTTTTGGGTGAGTACTCTTGGGGATGCGGCATCGATTCGTGTGAAAGGTCGTGTTGCTGCGTGGGGTTTTCCCTGTATCAATTTTTTTGTTGTTGTTTGTTTACTGGGAGTTGAAACCCAAGACCTTTTCACTGAGTTACCTCCTTTAAAAATTTTTTTAAAAATTTTTTTATTCTTAGATCCCTAGCACCAGGGGAAAAAAGAAAAATCTGAGTCAGGATCTCACTACATCGCAGAATTGCCCAGGCACTGGTCAAACTTGGCGATTTTCCTAAGTCTTCCAGGGTGCTAAAATTATAGGTGTGCCCAGCTTGCATCTGTTTTTAAATTAGATCTGGATCGTTTTTGAAGTGTATATAGAGAAATGAAAGTAATTTGTAACTGTGACTGCCTGGCACTGTATAATGTGCTATATGTGGTTATGAAGGACAAGCGGAGGGCTGTGGATTGGTGGTTTTCTAAAGGATCTTTGATTATCACTGTGCATGTGTTTATATCTTACTGTTATTTTTGATGGTTTTGTGGTCATGGGAACCTAAATATTTAAATGGTTGAGGAACTCTGTATGACCAAGTCTAGTTGTGTAATATTTGACAATCAATGCCCATTAAGTCTGCCTCCAAAAATTTTAACTAGGTAGCAATTTAGCAGATACAGTCATAGCATGGCTTAGTGGCATGTTCCTGTAACTTCAGCACCTTGGGAACTGAGGCGGAAATATCGCAGCTTTAAGCCCAGCCTGAGCAACTTAGTGATTTAGTCAGATTCTGTCTCAAAATAAAAAATTAAAATTAAAATCAAGGCTGGAGTAAGTCAGGCATGGTGGCACATGCCTGTGATCCCAGCATTCGGGAAGCTGAGGCAGAAGGATCACTTCAAGGCCAGCCTGGGCTATCTAGTGAATTCAAAGCTAGCGTAAAGGGATACTAATATATTGGTAAAGATGGCATTTCCTATCAGTTGAGGAAATGTGCACAATACAATATGTGGTATTGCTAGACAAAACCTAAAAGGTGGACAAAGTCTTCACAAGACAAAGGTACTTTCATAATTATATGAGAAACTAAGAAAAATTATTTGCAACTTTGAATGAATAAAGGATGGATTTCCTAAATTAAAAAAAATATAACATAGTGGCTGGGGATATAAATCATGGTAGACTCCTTGCCTAGCATGCATAAGGTCTTGGGTTTGATCCTTAGCATCACAAACAAAACAAACAAAAGATAATATGAACTAATTAGGAAACAAAAACCCATTAGAAGATAAAACAGTATAAAGAGATGCTGTTACTGAAAATAAAGAAAAATATCTTTAACATTTGTTCAGTACTGGAGACTGAATTTAGTGCCAAGATGATCCCCAGCAGCCCTTTTTATAATTTATTTTTTTTCAAGTTGCCCAGGCTGGCCTCACATTTGCAGTTCTCCTGTCTCCTGATAGCCGGTGCTGTAGGCATGAGCTGCTATGCCACCATGTACTATCTTTAAACATTTTAAAAGAATTCTTACTCAGAATAAGATATGAATACATTAGAGCTGCCATACTGATCTGAGAGGCAAAGATAAAAAGTTCTCAACTGATTTTGTCGGGGTATGGGACGTTATTCTCATATACTGCTGGTGACAGTATAAGTTTATAGAAAGACCATGAAGAACAATTTGGAAATATACAAGAAAGCTGTGCCCCGTGGAAAAGGCAAGCTACAACAGGTTCCCAAGCATCCATTCTTCCTGAGAAAGAGACTAGGTTTCTGGTGGTGATGAAAGCAAGATTTGTCCATTGGTGCACTAACTTCCTAGATTTCTCAAGGGTACACAGACAAGCAAATCCTGAAACAGTGAAAATTAATGCAGGTTTAACTAAGTTATTCTAAGAGACCTAAGTCAAATATGTTCTCACATGGTTTATACCTCTATCTTTGTCTTTGTAGGACTCTTCCCTTTTCCAAAAAAAGAACTCAAAATAGAAGGTTCATCTCTTATAAAACTCCAAGCCATGTCTAAGGTGAGATGTTTCCTCTCTTTTTTTTTCAGGGAATATGAACATTTGTTTAGCAGTATTGCTTAAATTTCATTACTGGGATTTACTTTCATAAAACGGTCTCTGGTCACGGCTCAGATTAGAGTGAAGCAAGCAAGTGGCAAGAGGTACAGTATTTAAGGGCTGTTTCTTCCTAACTTTGGCACCCTACCCTGTTCCCAGTTTCTGTCTTCCACCCAGGGAAACGTAAACCTTCTACTCATAACCAGTGTTCACATATTGATTGGGTATATTTATCATCTTCTTTCGCAGTGCACTTCTGGAACAGAAAATATTTTCTTGACTTAAATGGAAATATATTACTTGAATGAATCTATCTTGTTTCACACTGATTTAAAATCTAAGTTATAAGTAGTCAAAGAACACACACTGAAAAGCCTTGATCATCTCCCCTAATTTAAATTTAGCAACCATATGATGGGCAGTGGAATTTGTGGATCACATTATTAGTTTGTGGGAAGCTGTCCTACTTTGTGAGGTTTGGGGAATAGAGATTTGATTGTGATCTTGTACAGAAAACGGAGGTTTTGTGTTCTTCCTCTCTGATCCATCTATACAATCCATGTCTGCCACCAGTTCCTACAAATCATGGGATGCCAGTAAAAACCCTTCTAGTATTCCAACGTTCCTGTAGGTTTGTGTCTTCTCTTTTTGTTTGTTTGTTTTTGTACTGACTGCTAGGCAGTAGGTACTGTGGCCTTCACATTGAACATTTTAGTTTGAGACAGGTCCTTTTTATTTTGAGACAGGTTCTCACTAAATTGCCCAGGAACAATTCTCATGCATCTGCCTCAAGCAAAGTGCTTACATTGTACAGAAGTTCTATACTACTGTGCCTAGATTTCTTCTGATTTTTGTGTGCAGGAAGAGATGCACATACTAGTCTACTCTTGAGTCAAGGTGGTACTTCGTCCTCTTTTTATTTTTCTTTCAGAAAATTCCTCATCTCCTAACCTTTTAAATAATGGTTTTCCCATCCATTAATCAGGTCTCTGGAGCTCCAGTGGCATAAGCAGTTAGCAGGTAGTACTTACACACATGGATCTCCTCTCTGCACTGCTTCTTTTTTGTCTGTATAACCAGATGCACTGTGAGGGCTACACCTCTGTGATGGCAGTGACTCTCAGATACCTCTATCCATTCTTGACAGAATGTCAAAACTATTTATTAAACATCCAGTAGTTAGCACCACCTCTGCGTTCTATAGGCACTTCAAGTATATTTCAAGGTTTGCCACATTACCTCTTTTTGTCCAGCCTATTATTTCTTCTATTTCCCCTTTCCATTTTCTAATCCCAGCACATGCACACTTGCCTATATAGATAAAGCAAAGTTATGCCTCTCTTTTTTTCCACTCCACCAATTTCTGACCAGTTTTTGTCACACTTCGTCATGTAAGAACCAGTTAGTCTGTCAACTCACATTAGTGGATTACCCATAATCTAGAGGCAACTCTCAACGGTCTTTTTTTAACCTAACACACCTTAAACTTTCTCCAGTCTTTAATAAGAGCATTGCCTCCTGCCTCAGCCTCCCGAGTGCAGGGATTACAGGCATGTGCCACCACACCTGGCTGATTACCACACTTGAATGGAAACCTAGAATTTTCTTCCCTGCCAATATATTGTCTTGTACAGTTCACTGTGATACATACCCCTCTTCAGGTCTGCTGCTTAAGGAATATGAAAATCATAAAGAAACATAAGTCAAATACACGTTATGTGGTAAAATTCTGTATCACAGTGAACTGTATAAGAGTAGTAATGACGGAAGCCAGGCATGATGCCACATGTTTATAATCCTACCACTCTGGGAGGCTGAGGCAGGAAGATTGCAAGTTCTAGCCCAGCTTGTGCAACTTAGTGATTTAATGAGATCCTGTCTCAAAATAAAAAGGCCTAAGGATGTCGCTCAGTAAAAAGGCCATGGATTGAATTCTTAATTCCCAGTGCTGCCAAAAAATACAGTAGTAATCATTAACAATGTAGGTTGCCATTAATACCCACCGATGATGTGTACATATATTGGAAATGTATTAAGTACATTTTTAAAATAGTGCTTTGAAGGAAAACACTCTATTATTCCATCATATGCCACTGGCTACCTTCCTATACCTTTTCCTTTTAGAGCTCAAAAGCTTTCCTAGCATACTGTGCCTTTCGCTATTGCCTGAGGTTGCTGGGTTTTTTCTCCCCATGAATTTTTAAAAGCTGATGCCCTTTATTTTTCAAAAGAAATTTATTGTGAGTTTAAAACTTTTATGTCCTCAATGAAACCTCAGAGTGCAAAACAAAATATTTCTTTGGTTTGTGACACTTTCCCCTGGTACATACATCATTGCATCTGTAATATCAGTTGAGTCCATCTGTTTTCATTTATGCCTCTTTCTTAACCTTCTCATGAGCAGGATCAGTATTTTATTCATTCTGGTCACCAGAAAACCAGTCACATTCAGACTGATACTGTGATATCAATGTGTATATTTTAGCATGAGAGAGTAAGTAAATACTGAGGAATGCATTTGCAGAGAGAAACTTCTAGAACACACGAAATACGAAAACTAGTCTTAACTCTTAACGTTGTCAGAACTAGGTCTCCAATGTCTAGTTCTCACCCATTTCCAATCACTTCAGGATGAACTAGAGTATGCCCTTACAGGGATCAGTGTCACTGAAGGATGTCACTGTGGACTTCACTGAGGAAGAGTGGCAGCAACTGGACACAGCCCAAAAGGCCCTCTACAGGGATGTGATGTTGGAAAACTATTGCCACTTCATCTCTGTGGGTAAGGGAACACTTAGTCTTTCAATGTCATATGGCTCCTTTTAAGAATCTCTGAAAAATAGGAAACTGAATTTCAGAGATTGGGGTGATGAGTCACTTTATTAACAGAAAATGTGATTATACCCTCACTTGCCTAATACAAGGTATTAACTTTGGTATTAATTAATGTGTGTCTTATCTGCTGCCTTAATGCTGAATCTCTTCTTCTTAGTTTGAAGTATAAACAGTTTAAACCAAGTTTCATGTTTCATTATTAGGGTTTCACATATCTAAGCCTCATATGATCTGCAAGTTGGAACAAGGAGAAGAGCTATGGACAGAGAGAATTTTTCCAAGTCAGAGCTACCTGAGTAAGTCTGCACAGATAAATGTCCAGTGAACGTTAAATGTCAGCTGATTGACAATGAAAAATAAAGCAACAGAGCCCTTCAGCCTGGTGCAGTGGTATATGCCCTGTAATCCCAGCACCCTGGGAGGCTGAGGCAGGAGGATAGCAAGTTTGAGCCCAGCCTGGGCAACTTAGCAAGATCCTGTATCAAAATTTTAAAAATAAAAAATGAGTGGGAATATACTACAGTATGAAAGGTTGAACCCCCAGAACTGTAAGAAAGAAAGAAAGAAGAAAAGAAAAAGAAAACTCAAAGGTGTTTTTAGGAACCTTTTTTTTTTGAGACAGGGTCATCTCACTATGTAGTTCAGGCTGGCCTTGAACTCACTTATATAGCCCAGGTTGGCCTTAAACTCACAGTGATCCTCCTGCCTCAGCCTCCCAAGTGCTGGGATTACAGGTGTGCGTGACCACAGCTGGCTACGAATCTATTTTTTTAATTCTGGTAAAGTGTATATAGTTATAAAATTTACCATCTTTTTTAAATTTTGTTTGAGAGAGGATCTCACTTTATAATTCAGGCTGGCCTTGACTTCATTGTGTAGCCCAGGCTGGCCTCAAACTCAAAGCAGTCCTCCTGCCTCAGCCTCATTAGGCTGGGATTACAGACGTAAGCCACCACCCCCAGCTAAAATTGACCATTTTAAACAGTTTTAAGGATAATACTTCAGTATCATTAAGTATATTCACAGTGTTTTGCAACCATCACCACTATCTTTCTCTGGAGTTCTTTTAAAACTGAAACACTGTACTATGTAAACAATAAATTAATTGCCTTTACCCACACTTCCTAGCCCCTAGAAACTACCATTCTACTTTCTGTCCGTGTGAATTTTACTACTTTAAGTACCTGTTATAAATAGAATCATTTAGTATTTGTACGTTTTGTCACTGGCTTGCTCACATAACATAATAGCCTCAAAGTTCATTCATGTTGCAGCACGTCAGAATTTCCTTCTTTTTTAAGACTAATTAATATTCCATTGTACACATACATACATTTTTCTTATTCATCATCTGTTGACTGCATGGGTTCCTTCCATCTTTTGGCTGTCATGAATAATGCTGCCCATGGGTATACAGATATCGCTGTGAGTCCCTGTTTTCAATTCTTTTGGGTATACACCCAGAAGTAGAACTGCTGGATCATAAGAGAATTCTGTTTAATTTTTAGGGACTCATCATAGTGTTTTCATAGTTGTTGCACAATTTTATATTACCACCAAGGTGTACAAGGGTTCCAATTCCTGCCCATTTTTCCTAACACTTGTTATTTTCTAGGGTTATGTTTTGTTTTGTTATTATTTTTCACCCCTGGAGACAGAACCCAGGGCCTCATTCATGCTAGGCAAGCACTCTTCCACTGTGTTACATCCCCAATCTTTTTGAAATTTTCTTTTGAGACAGGGTTTCACTAAACTGCCTTGAACTTGCAGTCCTCCTGCTTCAGCTTCCTAAGTAGCTGGAATTACAGGCATGTGCCACTGTTTCCAGCATTTCCTAGGTTTTTGTTTTGTGGTGAGGATTGAACCTAGGGCTTTTGCCCTGAGCTACATCCCCATACCTTTTTAATTTTTTTTTTTTTTTAATTTTAAGACATGCTCTTAAGTATCTAAATTGCTCACTTTGGGCTTGAACTTTCAATCCTCTTTCCTCAGCCAACGTCCCAGACTGCTGGGATTACAAGCATGCCCAGTGGGTTGTTTTGATAGTTGTCATCCTAATACTGATCTTTTTTAAAGGCCTGAGATCTGTAAAGTACCTATACATGGCTGACTTTCACACTTTGCAATCTAAATTTTAGTTTTGAGTATCAGTTTCCATTTTAATCTTTTCCTTTGCCTTGTGTTTCTAGAAATATTGGCTGCTATTACCTTACCAAAAACCCATTCCAGACTTTGTAGGTATAATGTACATAGAGATCTGAAATGTAAATTCTTTGAGTTCTGACAGAAATAGAAAACCATGTTTCCCAAGGATATTTCCTTGACCATTAAATTCTATAGGCCTCATCCATGTCAAATCTCTTCCACTTGGATAATCACAGTTGTGATTTTTTACCAGCATGCATTAGTTCTTTTTATTCTAGACCTTCTTTCTTTCATTCAGCTTAATGTCTAAGAGATTTATACATGTTTTTGCATGTATATCTAGTTTGTTATTTTAATTGGAATATAATATTAAATTGTACAAATATACTATTTTACATAACTGCTGTTAATAGAAATTTGGGATGTTCCAGTTTGAGACTATTGAGAATAAAGCTGTTGTAAATATTCTTTCAAAAATCTTTTTGTGGACATATGTGTTTTATTTCTCCTCAGTAAACACCTAGCAGTGATATTGCTGATTTAGAAGGCAGGTATATATTTAACTTTTATTAACAGTGCCAGTTTTTAAGTTACTGTGTCACCTTAGACTTTCACTAGCAATGTATGAGAATTTCGATTGCCCTACAGTCTCTTCTTCATTTAACACTATCAATATTTTCATTTGGTCATTCTGATGGTATATCTTTGCAGTTTAGTTTAGATTTCTCTTATTACTAATGATGTAAAACTTTTCAAGTGCTTGTGATGTTATAAGTGTTGGGTCAAGTGTTTCATTCATTTCCTTAGTTGGGTAATACATATTTTTCATTGAATAGTTGGAATTATATATATATTTTTTCCATAGGAATCTTTTGTTCAAAGTACACATTGCAAATATTTCCCGTACTATGTGACTTATGATTTCATTTTTGTGCTCTTTCATGAGCATAAATTTTTAGCTTTGGTGAAATCCAGCTGATTTTTTTTCTTCTTTTTATTTATTTATTTGTTTATTTTTATTTTAAAGAATAAAAGAAGGATAACATAGTAATAGGGGGATTTACCAAATTACAGACAAAGTGGTAGGACATTATCAATGGTCGTTATTTTACCTTCAACATAGTTTCTTAGGAAAACAAATAGACAAATAATAGTGAGTTACAGACAAGAATGGTAGAAAATTATCAGTGGTTGTTGTACTATACTTTGGTTTCTTCAAATTGGTTTCTAGAGAAAACAAATACAGCTATACATGAGTGATCAATTAAATAATCATGGACTATTCTCATTGGTTGTTGTTGGGAATGCATAGTAATAAACATACATCCATTTACAAAATAGCATAGGAACAATACAAACACTACAGAGTTACAGACAAATTGGTAGGAAATTATCAATGGCTGCCGTAATTGATATTTTTTCTTCTATAATTAGTTCTTTGACCTCACAAATATTTGTCTGTAACTCACTGTGATTTTAGTTTTCTGCATTTTCTTCTAAGAATTTTGTGTATATTTTGTTTTATCATTAGTTCTGTGGTGCACCTCTTGCTAAGTTTTATTTATGATGTGAGGTACAGTTCAAGGATGAATTTTCATCTATATGGATATTAATTTGTTCCATCACCATTTGTTGAATTGACTTGATGATCATATAGAAGATTATTTGATGGCATTTGTTATCAGGTTAACAATATCCCTTAGTTATTGCAGGCTGATCAGGTCCGCAATCTCCCAAATGAGTGTACAGCAGAGGCTAAATAAAAAGAGGCAAATGGAATGATTTCAGGGCTCCAGGAGGATCAAAGGCTTCTTAAAGAATTTGAGATTCTCTCAGGACTAAGACCAAGATCTTCTCTGGGTCGCTTATATTTGTTTGATTATCAGAAGAAGAGAGGAGAGTACTCAAAAGGGTGGAATTACTCAAGGACTTCTCCAAGTAAAGTATTAAATTAATCCATAATAAGGATTAAGTTTATCCACCCCAGGAGTGAGATGCCTGAGTCTATAGTCCTTATCTACTTGAGATTAGATCCAGGTGTCCTTGGCTATGATTTTATCTTATCCTTTGAGGCTTTCTGGCTTCATCTGCCGTCACAGGTTTTAGCAGAGATTAGTGACTCACAGAGGTTCACTTACTATAAGTCCCTTGACCACTTCCAGACAAGCGGCCTAGGCTTTGGACAGATTCACAAGTAAACATAAAAGGCAAATTGGTTAATTTAAGACCTGCTCGGGGCTGCTTCATAGTGGTCAGTCTTTGTTCAAATTCTCTATTTTTTGTCAATTCATTTTAAGTCATAGTGCCAATATTATCTAGTCCGTGATTATAATAAATGTATAATAAGTCTTGGAGTCAGTTAGAGTAAGTCCTCCAACTGTATTCCTTTTGGTTAGTGTAGGTAATTTTCTTTTCAAATACATTTGAGAATCAAATTCTTGACTTCTTTAAATAAATGAGCTGAGGCTGTTATTTATGAGAACTGATATATTATCATTATTGAGCCTTCTAGTATATAACCATGTTATAGCTCTCCATTTTGATTAGCTTCCCTAATTCCTGTAAGTAGTATTTTATTATTTTTAGTATACAGGTCTTACACTTTGTTCAGTACATTTGTCTCCAAGGTTTAATAGTTTTGATACTATTGTAAGTTGTAGGTTTGTGTGTATGTGTTCACACACATATGCACGGCTGATAGTTGAACCCAGCGCCTTGTTTGTGCATGTACCACTGAGTTATACTTCCAGCCTAATAGTAAAATTTAAATTTTTTCTTTTTCTAGTTACTAATCTGTGTAACCACAATTATATTCATATATTGCCTCTGCATATTTCTGGTTGTAGTAGGTCTTCTTCTTGTTGTCATTATTATTCAGTATAGCAGTTCCCCCTTATTCAGGGTTTCACTTTATACTGTTTCAGTTACTCAGGTTTGTCTACAGTCCTAAACATATTAAATATAAAGTTCCAGAAGTAGATGATTCCTTACAATGTCCTGCTTTGTCCAGCCTGAGATATGAATCATCCCATTGGCCATTAGTCACTTAGTAGCTGTCTTGATTATCAAATTGACTGTAGAAGTATCAGTGTTGAATGCCTGTGTTCAATTATCCCTTACGGCGTAGCATACCTACTTCACAATGCCTCTG